GGAAGCTAATGGTGAAAACCAATTTGAAAACGGAGTTGAAATCAATTCACAAACTCAATTTGAAGGAAAATCCACGTTCTTGAAGAAGCCTAAAATATTCGGATCCAAAACCCCGACTCGAAAATGAAATATCTCTTGAAAAACATCTTACCCATGCTTAGATAAGTTCAAATATGAAATTTCATCAAAAACGGAGTTAAGATCGACCTTGAAATTCTCAATTTATCAAACTTTAACTTTACCGGGAAAGTCCAAATTGTACGCGGTTAATATGATGAAAATAATCGATGAATCAATAATTTTATGTTAAAATCAGTTTACCCATAACATAAGGATCGTAAATATACCTTTTTCATCAAAAAGGGAGTCCAAATCGATAAAACCCCAATTTTTCCCAAGAGGTTTACGGATAGGGAAAATAAAACCAGATAAAGAAATTATGAGAAAATGTCGAATTGAAGATTGAATACTAACCCTCATATTAATTCAAGAAGAAACCCGTAAGAATCACTCCATTCCGATCTCTAGAACTCCCGATATGCTCAAAATACCAAATGAACACAGTCTGAGATTTTTATAACAGTACATGGCTGTTATGCACCAGAAAAACAGCAGTTAATCTTTCACTAAAAAGGCCGTAATTTCCTCATACGATAGTGAAATGACCCGATTCTTTTTTGTAAATGTCTTAAATAATGATACGGACCTGCTCATTCAATCGGAGCTCAATTTCATGCTCGTTTGCCCAGTCAAATATCATTTCTACTCGGTAAACAATTATTTCTTATTTGCGATAAAAGTCCAATCTCGGGTTAGCGAAAATGCACCAAAATTTGCAGATAAGTCCTATAATTCATGCTCAAAATTTCAGAACCTTCATAATAATTTTTCGACGTCTAAAACTAATAATGAACCCTGTAGTTGCCACAATTTGCTGAAATAGTGTCAAAGCATCCAAGAAGCTTAAAAGCTCACCCAAAACTCATTTGGCACTTCCCGAACACAAACCAAATATGCTACTAGCTTGAAAATGACATTTCGGACTCAATGAAATCGTCAGAATTTGAATTCGAGGTCTCCTTGCCCCGGTATCCGATAAGGCGTCAAGAAACTAACTTTAGGCTCAAAAACTCGAAACGCACTCGGGGCCTCTAAAATTCAACCAAGACTCATTCTAGACTTAGAATCACCCCCTGAATCCAACGGTGCCCTCAGAATTCCATTTCGAGCACCGAAACCTCGTTTGTTGACCAAAGTCAACTCTTGATCAAAATTTCACAATTTTTGCAACTTAGGACCTCAAATCTTCGTTTTAACTCCAAATTCGACTCCGTAAATTCTCATAGACCCGTTTCGACATTCTAAAACGGCTGGAATTGACGGAAATCCGATTCGAGTCTCGAAACTCCAAATGACTCGAAATAGCACTTTTAACCAAACTTTAACTCTTAAAAACTCAACTTTCCAAAAACTCAACTTTTCATCAATTTTCCTTCAAACCAACTTCGAAAATACAACAATTAGGACTCGGGGCAACTATCGGGAGGGGTAAAACGGTCATTTTATGAAAATTTCCAAAAATGACTTTTAGGGTCATTACAAGGCTAACCTTAGACAAAATCTTGGCTAAGTGGGGTGTTGGTCATATGAGGATGAGTGGGGTGTAATGTCTAGGCTTCGTTGATATTTTCTTGTAGCCAAGAAATTAAGGAACCTATAGTGCTTTACATAATTGAATTCAGGTAAGTAGAACTCTCAAAATTGATCTTGGCATCGAAAGGGATAGATCGGGACGTCAAGGGAAGTATGTGTGTTGTGAAAAAGGCACTTTTCAGAAATTTCCGAAGCAGCAATACTACTTTCGCATAGTCCCTACCGTGAGAGGCTCCCGCCATAGTGAGCGTGTGCAGGTTCTATAGCGGGGTAAGTTCCGCTATAACGGATTTGGCATTAAAGGAATTAATCTAATATAATCAAATGAGAGACATATGTACAGTCCTACACAAAATTGACATCCTTTTACCAAAAATGTTTAGCAAAAAATTAAGTCTAAAAAAGTTGGCACTACGTAGCTAAATTTTTCATCTTTGTATTTAAAAAATAATAATCTCTCTAATACTAAGAATTTAGCTATCCAACCCTTCGGGGTGGCCCAGTGGTTTGGGCTTGAGACTTTCATGTTGGAGGTCTCAAGTTCTAAACCCCTTGCCAGCGAAAGCAAGGGGTTTGCCTTCTGGGTCGAGTTCGTTGCACTGGGATTGCCTAGTACGAGTTACCTCTCCTATGAGCGAGAGTTTATTCTCTACGAACACAAGGGGTATCGGCTTCGGGTTTCCCTTGTCATGAAAAAAGAAGAAGAAAGGAATTTAGCTATCCATGTTTTTATTTATAGTAAGTATATTAGTTAGACTATTTTAAAAGAAATTTCTTATTTCACGTTGGATATCCCTAAAATTAGAAATTCGATTATTTTGTTTCCCTTATTGCATTTACCGGATATCCCTTATTTTAGAGATTCAATTATTTCATTTCAACCCTTTTTTGTTGAAGTAACTATTAGTTAAAATACTTTATTTTTGCAGCAAAATTGATTAAAGTTTTTCAAACCTATTTTTCAAACTTAAGATACCACATTGAAGTTTATAATTAGAAAAAAAATTCACATCTAATAAGTTGACCATTTGAAATTAGAAACTCACATGGAAACACTAATTTTACTTGTACGCCAATGTCCCTAGTCGTCTAATTAAATTATACATAGTCTTTTTTTATAAATAGAAAAGTATTTTAATATATAAGTGCGTAATTATTAGTACTAAATAAAAATTATTTGGAAACACTAATGTTACTTGTACGCCAAAGCCCCAAATCATCCAAGTTATAAAATATTTTTTTTCTTTTTATTTTATCTTTTGAATTGTTTACTTGAATACTTAATTTACTGATCATTGACCTTCATAGTTAGCTATTTTCTCATGTACGAGTCCTTTTTTTTTTTAATTTCTCTTTTGATATCCAGTGTTCATATTGGAGTCCATTAAATTTGAATTTCGACAATTTTGTATGATATATTTCGAAAATGACTCTCCCAACAAAATTGTTTTTATTCCTACAAGTACAAACCATACATGAGTCTGATAATCTCAACTATCTCACCATCATCCATATTGATCATCACGAGGTTAACTATGAAGAGATCTAGGATATGTTTGGATATGTGATACGGAGTCAAATGATGATTTGTTTCAGATTTAAATTTTCATGATTTAAAAGCATGATGGTGTCCAAAGTGGCATGTTCCTATGATGACCTCAAGTTAATACTACAATGAAAAGAATTGGATTCATAGTAAAAAATTTATTAGATTTCTTAGTGTGTATAGACAAAACTACTCTGTATCCCATAGTTTCTTATTCTTCTATATGAACATTGATTGTTGGTGAACTTGCCAAATTTCTTCTCTGTTCAGTTTTATGTTCTTTTTTCCAGAATTGATGCTGAATACTGCATCACAAATATCATTTGTGTCAAGTTCACATTTTCTTTTATCCCGATCTTCCTAGTGATATGTGGGACAAACATCGTTATAAGTTGTCCAAGTTGCCAAGAAATAGTTCGATTTGATAGCTGCAACTGTTATCTTACTCTTCCACAAGTTGAACTACTCCAATAATCTATCCAGAAACGTTTAAGTTCCATTTCAGGTTCTTCAATCTGCATCTTATCTTGGTAAGTATTTCTTTATCCTTAATCAAAGGTCTTGAGTTATGAAGTCACCTTTGGTAGAGAATGATTTAACTTCCAAAAGTGGGATTTTTCGGTGTGAATTTTAATTAATTGGATCCCAAAGAAAATATTGAACATCAAATGTCAAATACTAAGCAATAATAAGAAGAAAAGAAAGGAAGAGAAATGCTTTTACCAAAATATCATTTTTTACGCTATTTATGCTATCAAATAAGGTAAACAGGGGTTGTTATGGTATAGTGGATAGGGCTACATTTTTAATTAGAGTTCTCGAGTTCGAGTTTTTGGTATAGAAAAATCCTTGATATGAAACGCTATTTCTGAATGAAGTCCTATTCAACGAGAATCCAAATTAGAAATCCTTGATATGGAACGCTACTTCTGCATGAGATCCTATTCAACGCAAATCCAAATTAGTCGGACTACAATACGGACAATCAAACAGCGGGTTGAAAGCTAAAAAAAATAATCTAAAAATAAGGACTAAGAAATTCAAAATTTTGATTTTAGATCATACATTCAAATTCTAGGTAGAATTCACATCAATCACATGGTTGCATGCGTATCCCACTCCAAATGATATATTGTTTAAATTTTATATTATTAGTAGATAATAATGGAGAACACTTCTAGATACTTTCAATTTTTCAACCAAGAGACAAAAAGTAAAAAGGGGGGCGGCTATGAGAATCTATTGTGTGCAATATTAAATTGATGTTGCACTTGGGAGAATGTGGAAACCATAATGTTATTTCAATTAGATCTAAAAAAAATAGGGAGAAGTGATTCCTAAATTCAAACTTAATATTAGTCGCGAATCCAAAATTTTCACTAAAAATATAAAAAATCCTAATTTTCATATATTTAATATAATCACCTTATTTCCTCTTTCTACGAGCATGTGTTCAACTTTTTCGTATTATTATGTCCACTTGTTGTCAACTTTATGTTATTTTTCCATCCACTTGTTATTAAATACTTTCTAAAACAGTACGACTATCCTATTTTATGTGCATAAATAGAAGAACTACTTACTAGCTTAATTGGTTTGTACAACACAAAAGATTCATAGTAGCTAGATAGAAGAAAACGAATACGACTACATATCGCGAGAATGACTTGAGGGTATGTGATTCTCATGTTCTTGATCGCTGCAGTTGTCCTCTGCAGCCATCAGCAAGCGGTGGCGAAAAACATCGCCAGCGCGACCACTAGTTGCAGCGATAGTGATAAGGGGAAATTAAAGAAGTGCATGACACAAACAGTCTCTATAGATAAATGTTGCCCCTTATTTAAGAGGACAATTGGTGCTAATTGTAAGTGTTACAATTATGCTGAGGATTTGGATAATCAAGCTTTAATTACTCTTCAGAGTTATTGTGATGTCAATAATCCATGTAAAAGTGTTCAAGTAAGTTCTTCCTTCTTTGTCTTACAAATAGAAAAACTTGTTGATAGAAAGCGTTTTTCCCTTTCGATGAACTTGAATCCTATATAAAGCAAAAATAGAAGTTATTGCTAGAACCTAACAAAGCATTTTATGAAAAATGTAACAGAAAGTGGTAGCTGATGGGAGTAGGACTGACACAGTGGAAGCGGTGGCGACATTGTACTTTATGCATTGAAGAACTTAGTAGAAGTACTTTTAAGTTCCCTTTCCCTAAAAAAAGAAGTATATATTAAAATTTACTCCACTAGATAACTAAAAAAGCAGTCTTATGCACAAAACATCTCATGTTAACAGGATTGGAGAACAGTCACACCCTATAGATAGTCTAAACTCTACTAGGTAACTATTTGAAGATTTTTCCACAATTTGATCGGCAAATTTTTCTTTCTTTTAAGTGAGTTCCAACATTTCTGAATTTTTTTTCCGATTTTTAAGAGAAGACAAACAATGTGTATAGCACAAATAAACAGCTTGTAAGATCACATTTGACTCACTTGTAGCTAGTGCTATCTGTTTCTAGCAAATTCGAACCTAATTCTTCTAAAACTTTTTATTTCAATCAACAGCCTCTTACTAGGTGATACTAAAAGATGAGTTGGACCTTTAGTTGATCTGCTCTATTCTTTAAGTTGAATCCGAATTTACTTATCGTGTTTCCAGAAATAGCAGTACAACAATTTCCTCATGCTATTAATGTGTTGACTATGTGTTCCTTCTGTGCTTGCCACATGTTCGGTCAAAGAGTCTTCATCCCGGTACATTTATTACCAATACTTTAATAAACATGATTCATGAGAGAATACTTCTGATTTGCGCATCAAGCATGCAGTGAGAAAACTAAAAGAAAAGAAATTCAAGTTTTGGAGGATCTTCTAATTAATTTGGAGGAGCAGGAAAACCTAATTCTAGGCAGAACCTTGTCGTTTAGGAGTAAAAAGA